AAAAACACACGAAGAGGGGTAAAAGGTAATGGAGCAATTAAGAGACTTGGTCAACTTACTAACAGACATAAGATTAAAAGGAAATTTAGGGACATACAAAACTGAGGACAGGGATACAGGGCCCAAGTCAACATTACCAACACCACAAATGGAGGATGTGGAACCATTAGCAAGGGTAACAGATTGTGATGTTGGGCAGTGAGAGAGGGAAGAAAACACACTTGGAGTTCCAGTCATGTTATCGGAGGCTTCAGAATCAATAATCCAGGGATGGGGTGTGGATGCCAGACAAGCCATACCTGAGTGTGCTAGAGTGGCCGTGTTCTGCTGAGATGTGGTCTGTACTAACCTCTCATACTCATCACGGGGAATACTCATCATCTCCTTCCCAGCAACATCTGTGGATGTAGGAGATACCTGATCGGCTAAATGGCTCTCCTATCTGAAGCTACTATCACTGGTCACGGCATGATTGGCCCAAGTTGAAGGTGGAGCATGCAAGTCATAGCAACAATTGACGGTATGTCCATCCATACCACAGTGTGTACACCTCCTTGGACCCTAACTACGACCTCTGCCACGGGCTCCCCCTGAATCTCGACCTCTAGTACGACCACCACCACGGTTATATATAGGTCCACTACCACCACTCCGGCCATATGCCGGTCCACTACTACCACTACGGCCAGACTAAGCTCCCCGAGCTCCACCTCTAACACCATGGCCTTTGGATACTGCTAGGGCTGATCTATCGGAAATATTAAAGTTCTCGATAGATCCAATGGAAATCCTCCTGAGTCGAGCAAACACCTCTTCTAAGGAAGGGAGAGCTGACCCTCCTAGTATCTGAGCCCGCACTGGTTCATATTCAGATTTCAGCCCCACCAAAAACCAAGTCACATCAAGTTGTTCTCTCTGTTGTTGCTGAATTTTGACATCAGAAGTGAGGGGGTGATAAACATTTAATTCATTACGAATGTTTCTCGTACTAGCATAGTACTCCTCAAGAATCTGATTACCCTGTTGTAGATTAAAGTATTCCTGGTACAACTGATATACTCTGGTTGTGTTGTCTTGACCCGAATACAGCTTTTTAGCATGGTCCCACACTTCTTTTGTAGTATCAAGGAACATGGAATTTACACTAATCTTGGGTCCTATACTATTCCATAACCATGTGATGATCTGTGCTACTGCCTGCTCCCAATCATCATAGTCAGGAGAATCGGTGGAAGGTTTTTCATCCCTTATGTGCTTCACCTTCTTCTGTTTGAGGAACACCCCCCCTTCGAATCACACTGAAGGGTGCACAAACCCTAGCACACTACAATCTGAAATCCCACCATACAGTCTGAAATAGACTTCTCATTTGATTCACACCAAAAAAAATGCATAAAACCTCTTACTTGATCACCGAAAATCAGACCACACAAGACACCCACTGCACTACACGAATCAGCCCTCTTCTCTTCATCGATTAGGGGAGGGCTTCTTAGAAACTGCAGCTACCGACCACAAACACCACAATTGGAGGCATAGAAACCTCCAAGGGAAGAGGGTGATCACTCCTTTTCAGCCCTGTTCCTTATCTCTAGCTAATGGCGAAGAAAATAAGAGAAAACCCTAGGTTGGGTGCGCAGATAACAGAATTCTGGGCAGATTTGATTTGCTCAGTTTTGCTCTGATACCATGTTAGTGTTCGGTCTGCCTGTTAGACTGATAACAGTCAAGGAAGAGAGAGAGAAGAGCAGAAGAGAAACAAGGAGAAAAGATTCTGGTTCGAATGAGAGAAAAAGTTCATTCTCCCATTTGGCCAGATGTATTTTATATTACTAAAATAATGTGGAAAAGTCACATATGCCCTACTTAAGTTAGGGACATTAAATCTAACTTAAACTTACACATCAGCACCTAAACACAAGCACAAAGACAGAATTACCCCTACATACTCAACACTAACACCTTGCATCATGTCTCTGTGCTTTAAAATATTGGAAAAATCAGGCCAATTCTCTGTCAGTTCTTTTTACACAATTTGGCATGGTTAGATGGTCAAGATTTCCCTGCTAGCACAGAAGTGGGATGGTGGATAGCACAGATTCTGTCCTATGAGATGGTTGCATGGAATCAGTAGATCATCTGCTGCTTAATTGTTCCTTTTCATACTCCATTTGGGTTAGAGTATTCAGCTTGTTTGCCATCAAAGGGTGCTGACCAGCCACTTTGATGGATTTCCCAAAAAAGTTTTAGGTTGGAAGGTCTGAGTAAAAGGGGGAAAATTGCATGGAATATCATTTCTGCAGCTGTCTTTTGGATACTATGGCAGGAGAGGAATGCAAGGGTGTTCCAGAGCAAAAGCATATTTGAAGATTATGTTTTTTTTTTTTTTTTTCAGAATATTATAGGAAAGTTACACTCTTGGTTGGTTAACAGAATGTTCAAAGGGAGAAACCATAATTCCTTTTTGTATACAGGGCTGCAAGGCAGTGTTTGTATATTTCCAGCGTACATCCACTAGTTGTACATACTTTTTTTGCTTTATAGTAATGAAATGAATACAATACTTTACCTTTTCTCTAAAACTAAAAAAATCTATTTGTAAGCTATATAAGTAGATAAAATAATGAAACCACTTATTCATTTTTTTCTTTAAAGGTGAACTAGTTGTTATTTGTTAATGCATTTCAAGATATTGGAAGGAGTATTTCAACTAATGAAGTTTGGGACTTTACCGCCTCTCCTCTCTTTTCTTCATGTCTAACAAATGTTTATTGTCAATCAGTGAACAGCAGCCTTTGCGGTTGAATGCTGCTGAAGTATATGAGGTTATAGCTGCGGTTTGCTCGGAGACATCTTCACCAAATGCAAACCTTATGACAGTTTCATCTAATTTAAGTAACAATAGTGGAAAACCCTCTATGGATGTTGCAGTCAGTGTCCTTATCAAACTTGTTATTGACATGTATGCTCTCCATACTTTTTCCTGTTAAAGTTTATATCCTTTTGAATATGATTTCAGTACGTCTCTTTTTATATTTTATTAGTTTTTTGCATGCAAACTTTAGGAAACCCTTGGTTATTGCTTGGTCATGTAAAATCATTGTTTTTTGATAAGTAAAAATTCTCTGATATTAATTGAAATCAACATAGATAAGCAACATTACAAGCATCCCAGGGAGAGGCACGAGGTGCAGCCTCACTCTAAAAGAAAGTACAGAAAAAAAATTACAGTTGAGATCTATCAAAAAAAAAAAAAATTACAGTTGAGCTAAGTAAACCTGATTCCTAAGTATCCCCTGCTTTGCTAAAGAAGCCAATGCATTGGCTTCCCTCCCCACCCAATGTATAACCAAATTCATATTTCTTGTTAACCAAGTGAGCTTCATTTCATCCCTATAACACCATATCACTGTTTCTGGATCTTTCAGCTAGCCCGCTACCACCTTAGAGTCCCCTTCAACCACCAAATTCTCCAAGTTCATCTCTTTTGCAATCTGAACACCTTGTAAAACTGCATACAGTTCAGTCCTTAAAGAGTCCCCACTTCCCACTGGTCCTGAGTAGTGTGCCACTACATTCCCTTCCTTATCTCTTATGACCCTTCCAATTTCAGAAGGGCCTGGGTTTGCCTTGGCTACTTCCATCAAAATTTGGTTTGTTACAATCGTGATTCTATAAATTAACAATGATTCGGGACAAGGCTTTGCTATTGGGAAGAAGCGTGCCTTCATGGTGACATGAACCTGGCAATAATCACAATTCCCTTCAATTGTCTCTGGATAAATCCCCAAGTTTTTTGTTTTTGTAAATCCTTCATTTGCACTTCTGCATCTTATATTTTCAAATTTGTTAGTGCCCTTTTTACTCTTGGTTTATTTACATTTTTACCCTCAATTAGAAAAGGATGACCAGTATGCTACTTTCATATTGAATTACAAATCATCCTTATTTCAATTGCATTGATTGGAAGTACATGGTTTAAATCAATTGTATTGGTTGGAAGTCTATGAATTCATGCAAAAGCTAACAAAATCAACATGCATTATTGGATCAATCATGAAATCTAGAACATAGGATCAATCATGAAGTACCGGGACCATTGCTTGGTGCAAGGGCACAATCCTGTGTTGAAAAGCACCAGATTGTTGCTTCGGATCTAGAGCAAACACTTGTAAAAAATGCCAAAGGTTAGGTTTGTATCCCAGTCCACCCCTCCCAAGACCCAAAGTCCCTAGATTGCTTGGACCAACTTTGGGTTCAGGAACCTGGGAATATTGGATTCAGGGGTCACTGTGGCTATGCTTTAATCTTTATTGTTTATAATATACTTGATTTTATATAAATGATGCATTAATTGATAAGATAACAAATGAAATGAAGAAGCATAAATGATGCAAACAGTACTACAGATTGGGGTGATTCTTCTCTAAGGTTGAGGCTTTCATATGGCTTGACACTTGAGTAAGTACCTAATGTGGATAAATTATTGGTGAGGGGGCTATAGTTGTTGGGTCATAGTTTTATGTGAATTCAGAAAGTTCCATCTCTTTTTTCATTGCCATGTATCTAGGATCATATACAACTTCTTAACCGTTGAGGGTGGAATGGTAATTCCTATGGAGCCTCATGTGCTTCTAGGAATTTGACTGGAAATTCTGATGAAGCCTTTATATCAGTTCTCGGGAGCCATATTCATGTTGGTTCACTTTTCAAAGATTCAGTAAGTGCTAAAGAGCTTCAATGAGCTTAACAGAATTAATTTTGGGAGGGCGTCTTAAGAAATTAATGTATCATTGTGTTGTCCTTTTTTCCTTTTCCTTGTTTTCTTTTTTTGTTCAAGAAACTGCATTAGCTTCTTTATTCTTACATGCCACTTTCTATATTTCATGTTCATTAAACAGAATGGAATGGCGAAACAGGATTCATGTAGCTGACGCCATATAGATAGGATAAGGCTTGGATGATTGATAAATGAAATACTAATAAAATTAAAGGATCATATTAAAACTTTTGGTTGTAATTTCGAAAGTTTAGCTTAGGAATCCAATATCTTATTGCTACATATCATGGACTTGCAAAGACAAGAGTCCCCCAGAGAGTTGAGTTGTGCTGTGATGTGTGTTTAGATGCAGCATTCAGGGTTTTTGACAAGTCCAAGTTACATAGGCTAGAATTTTGTTTTCGTAAAATGCTTTCCCATTATTAATAGCATTTTCCCCATTTGAGGTTTAATAAGGCAATGGCTAACAGTTCTTTCCAAGTTGAATTGTTTCATTGGTTTATAGTGTTCTCACTGTTGAAGGAATTATTAAGCTGAGTTTCTTTTGTAGGTATGTATTGGATTCTCAGGCTGCTGCTCCTCTCACTCTTTCTATGCTACAGGTGCTGTACCAATTTGTGTTTCCTTCTCTTTTTTGGTTTTCTGATGGGTAGTGATTTATGGGCTTAAAAAATGAAAAAAAGAAACTCATTTAAAAAGATCATAATAATACAGAGTATACAATATATACCAGAAAACACTTCAGGAAAGAATTATAAAATACCCCTAAGCAATAATTAATCAATGAACCATTCAGATGGTGCCTAGATCTGCCAATGACCTTACCACACTTTCTATGGTGGGTTAAGGGGGCTCCATGCCCTGGGGTGCGCAGCAGTAAGTTTATTATGCATCTTTAATTCTGTATATAATATAACCCGATATGGTGTGTCAGTCATGCCATGTTCCTTTCCTCCTTTACTTGCGTTCTTTTTTTATTTTTTTATTTTTTTATGTGAAGGGGTTCATATTTCTTATTACTCTAATAAACTGTCTTGCAACTGCTGTAGCTGTACCCCAAAATACATTTCAGGCCTGTCCATCCTGCTTCTTGGCAAGCTATCTGCTATGAAATGCAGTTGGCTTCTTATGATGACAGATGTGATTATATTCTCATTTTTGTGTGATTGCTTCACAGGAAATGCTTAGTTCTCCAAGGTTGACCTCTAGGGTCCGTGCATTCGATTTAGTTCTGAACCTTGGAGTTCATGCTCATTTACTGGAGCCTATGCTTCCTGATGATCCTCCCACAATTGATGAAGAGTGTTCTCAAGCAATGTATTTGAACAATGAAGAGAAATTTGCAACACAAGTCAAGAGAATGGATTCTTCCAAGCAAAATGGAAACTCCTCTGCCATTGATAGTTTCGAGTCTTGGCTTTTGAAGATTTTGTATGAGATTCTTCTTCTACTTGTTCAGGTAAACAATGTTCTTGTATTCTCAGTGAAAGCTGGGCTGCTTTACTTAAAGAGTTTCTGTTATCATCATGAAAAACATGCACATATGAGATTCTTCTTCTACTTGTTCAGCTAAACAGTGTTCTTGTATTCTCAGTGAAAGCTGAGCTGCTTTACTCAAAGAGTTTCTGTTACCATCAAGAAAACCATGTACATTTGATAATACCCAGAGGTTGTTGTCCATTCAACTGGAGAGAGATCTCACTTTTTTTTTTTTTAATTTGGTTTTTAAAACGCTTATACTAAATCTTAAGTGAATTTAAACTGGAAATGGATACATATAGGTCCAGAAACACGAGTTTAATCTCCCTCTCTCTCTCTCTGGGCATAAAACAAAAATCTTATTATGACTCAATCACTAGATTTCTTGAGCAGATAAATTCCGATTAATAAAAACCAAAGGAGTTTGTTAAAAATCTTGTATACAAAAATCTAAGGATTATAACTCAATGATAGAGTTTGTGCTAGGTCTATGCTCTTTACGAGAGTGTCTGGCTATCTTATTCTAATATTCTTTCTCTTCATTTTTTATTCAGGCATAATTCAAAATTTAAGAAGCTTTTCCATAAAAAAGTGAGACTGGATAATGCTAATATTGTTATAAAGTTAAAGAACACTATTTGTAGAATTTTTGCAAATCATAATATTGTTATCTGTATAACAAAAAATGAAATGTGTAATAAATTCCTAACTTAAATCATTAAGGCAATGGTAACATTCCACATATCTCTCTTAGTGGGACAAAACAAGTGGCTAGATTAATTATTTCTTCTCTTTCTTCCTTTTTGTTTTAATTTTAAGGGGGAGGGAAATTGGTGAGAGTATTTTAGTCAGTCCAAAGAAGGGTTTTCCCACCTTTTTTTTCCTCAAGAAAGTCTCAGTGACAACAACATACTTAAGCCTTAATTGCATCATTGAAAAGAGAAAGGGGTAGTTAGGTTTCTGTATGTTAGATCAAACTATGGGTCTTCCCAGTGGTGATCCTAAGTGTTTTTTTCCCTTTTTTTGTTTTTTTTTATGGCAAGTAGTGATCCTAAGTTGAAAGAGAGAGAATAGTGGGTCTTTTTGAGTTTAAAAAGTCCCCCCTCTATATTCTAGTAGTAAGCCTATACAATGGGAAGGTTCTTTCTTTCTTTCTTTCTTTTTTTTTTTTCTTTTTCTTTTGATAAGGTCGGATTTTACACTCATTGAACAATGCATTTAAATGAGATTCTTGGAACAAGGTTAAGTTGCTTCGTTTAGGTAAGTAAATGATATGAAGTAAGGATTGATACTGAAATTTTCAGTATTGAGTGTTTCAAATGTACAATACTCTGCCTTTTGATATGTTTCTCAGTTTGAAGTTTCAGGAATAATCATGTGAGGAGGGTTTCTAATGTTTAAACCCATATACACTCCCTAACTCTCTATATTGAGCATTTGGTGACCTTGAAAACCGATATGTTGCAATATTTTGAACCTTGCTTGGAAGTTAATCCAAATTGTGTGGTGAAGAGGCCTCATTAAATTGTGTGGGCATAGTTGGCTAACTTAAACTTCTTACAGGCTGTTTTTTTTTTTTTTTTGACTAATAAAGGTTGATTTCCTAAAACATTAGGGGCCCCATTCTAGCTGGTCCCAACCTTCTGGGTTCTTTATTTATTGCAATAAGTGGTTGTCATACTTGAACCCATGTTTCACACTAGTCAACACAAGATTTTACCATCACACCAAGCAATGACCCCTTTTCTATACTTACTATTCAAGTAATTCAACATTATTGGAATGGTATTGGTACTTTGTTTTGATTATCTTAATTGTGCATGATTTTTTTCTTAATTGTGTATGTTTTTTTTTTTTGATAATTAAATTAAAATTTCATTAAGAGAAAGACCAGTTCAGATACAAGCTTCCCATGAAGAGGCACGAGCTGTGCCCTCTCCCAATAAAAGAAGTTAGAAAACAGGAAACAAAATCAAATTACAATTGAGCCCAAAACAATTGTTCCTTGTTTGCCCCTTGCTTTGCTAGATAATCAGCCAAAGCATTTGTTGATCTCCCCACCCATTGTGTTCTTACAATCAAGCTCCTTGTTAGCCATTTGAATTTCTTAATTTCATTCTTAAAGCACCAGACCATAGACTCTGGGTTCTGTAGCCAATCCACTGACACCTTGGAATCCCCTTCAATTAGCAATTGTTCCACACCTAGATGAACTGCAAGATGTACACCCTGGATGACATCTAGCAATTCTGCCCTAGCAGAGGTCCCAACTCCTAGAGGACCCGAGTAAAGGAGAACCACATTACCGATCTCATTCCTCAGCACCCCTCCCATCCCAAAGGGGCTTGGATTACCTTGACTTCTGCCATCAAACTTCAGCTTCAAAAAACCTTCAAGAGGGGGTTCCTATCTCATACACACTCTAACCTTTAGAGAGGTGCAGCTCGCCACTGCTGACCAATTCCTCCAAATATCATTAAAGGAGAATTGGTGGAATAAATCCAGGGATTTTAGCCACAAAATCACCCTATCTAAAATCACCCTATTTAGTATGTACTTATTCACCTCTTGTAGGTTTCTCTCCTCTTGGAAGATTTTGGCATTCCTTTCTTTCCACACTGTCCAAATCAGCGTTGCTTATGCACACCTCCACATAATTCTTCCTCTTTTTTGATGCCAAGGGAATAGAAGGATCAAAGAGTTAGCTTACTTCTGCTGGCCTATGCCACCTGCACCTAAACAACAAAAAGAGCCACTCTCATAACTATGCAGTAAAGGAACAAGATATTAATAAATGGTAACAGTCCTCACCATGAGACTTGCAAAGAAAACACCAATTAGGTGAGGTGAGATAAAAGGAAAGGTCTTCTCTTTTGTAGAAAATCCAAGGTGTTTATTTTCCCATAATACACTTCCCAGCAGAAGGCCATAACCTTAGGCGGAATAGGCATAATGGGGAAGAACTGGTTTGAAGGGGACTGAGCAAGGGACTTGAAAAAATAAGCACAAGAAAAAAGACCCTTTTGGCCGGGGTGTCCAAATTTGTTTATCTAGTTCAGAAGGGTCCAAACAGACTTTATCAAGGCATGGCTCTAGTATCCTTACTAGAACAAGCTAAAGGGTAACATCCCAAGGTCAATTCTTGCTAGGTTTCATTTCTTTCTTTATGAATGAATATCAACTTGTTTCACGTGTCTCAGTCTCTGTGTCATTATTTCAACTCAATTCAACACTGTTCAACTCAGCCTTGTATCAAACTATTCAGGTCTACATGGATCAATCATGAGCCATGATTTCTATCAAATTATATGTCTTTAAGGCCAAGTTTGGGAGTGCTTAAAAATAAGTGCTTATTCGAAAGAGCCATGATTTCTATCGAATAAGCACTTATTTTGGGCTGGGACCACACCATTAAGCACTTATTCGAATTTTCTCTACCAAAACTGTCCCCGTTTATGTTTGAAATTTCCAATTATGCCCTTTGAAGGTAAAAACATAGGGTTTGACACATTGAGGCTTTCTTCTCCTTTGCCTTCTGCAACCAGTGGCAGAACTAGGATAGCTTGGCTGATTACTGCTCTTCTCCATCAAGGTGGGTGGTGGCCGATTATTGCCTCAGGAGTTATAATCTCCTATATTACAACAATGGCAGAAATCTCAGGAGTTGTAATCTCCTATTGTACATTATCCAAATAAAAAATTCAATTCCCTGCTTCTCCTGGCCTCTCGGCTGTGGGATTTGCTACTTTGCTTCAATTTCATGGGAATATCTTTATGCGGCGTTTGCACTGGTTCAACTCTGCAAATATGTGCATCGACAGGGGAAATCCAGAAGAGGGAGAGAGTTTGACCTCCCATTTTCATCTCCACCAATCCATCTCACATTAATCTCATTCACCTTAGGGAGTTATTCAGCTCCTGCAATATCTTGTGCCACAGATTCCCGAACCTCAACCCCGATGGCTGGGTTGAAGCTGTTGATACTCGATATCAGCAAGCTCAGAATTGCTCTCTCTCACAGCTCCATTGTAGTCTCTGTATTCTGCGAACCAGAGTTTTCTTATGGGGATCCTCCGACAGTATCAAGAAATCGAGATTTGTGATCAGACAACTGTTGGAGAGAGCAACTCCAGTGACGGAATCCAATGGTCGTTTGGTTGGTTTTGGTCAGGCAGTTTCTGATAATGGATCGACAGCTTATCTGCCCACCACTCACATAAGTTTGAAAAACTTGTGGTATATTTTGAAATTTTGAAAGAAAATGAAGGACAAAAGAGTCACAAGTGCTTATTTAAGTACTTATCGGAGAATTGACCACCAAACGCTCTATATGAAATAAATGCTTATTTTTTAAAATAAGTACTTAAAAAAGCTGGGTGCCAAATGCAAATAAGTGCTTATTTGAATAAGCACCTGTTTTTAAGCACTTATTTTTAACACAAGCACTCCCAAACTTGGCCTAAATCACTTTTTACCACTTCAGACTGTGTTTCCTTTGGTCTTCTCTTGCTCCCTTGCTCTTTCAGATCCTTCTACTTCCACACTTCATTCCATATTGGCTGGTCTTATAACTATCTCATGGAATCTGGACTCTGGAGTGGGAGGAGTTTTCAGGGATGATGGTCATATTAAAGCAATGATTTCAGGTCCAATTGGAATTGAGGATTACACAAGGTCAGAATTTTTTGCTATTAGCCAAGGAATCTACAGACAAGAGATATGAATCTGAACAAACTAATCATTGAAGGTGACCTCAAAGTGGTGATAGGATGGCTGATGACCAGTGTGTACCTACAGACTGCTCCAAGGGTTGTATGAATATTCATGTGCATATTCTGTTCATAATTAATAAAATCTTATGTTTTTCAAAAAAAAACCTGCGAGTGTTGTTGGTATATCACTACATTTTGTTCAAAGAGAAGAGGGAGAATATTATGGAGATACACAGGTAGCTGTATTATGGACTATTTGGGAGAAATAAAATAGCAGGATTTCCTAGGAAAAGAAAATATCTAGAACTAGAAGTATCATTGTTGACAGAACAAGCATTAAGGTGGTCCCTTGGGTTAAAACACAAATTATTTAATAATTTTCAGCGGAAGATTTTACTAGAGAATGGTATTGGATATCTAATTCAGCAATGCTTAGACAAAACATCTGATCATAATGGAGACCATTGGAAGTACATAAGTGGCCATGATGATTCGACAACAGAAGAACTGATAACTTTAGTACAGAGTCTAAAAGTGGCAAGATCTTTAAACCTCAACAATCTGATAGTGGAGGGTGACTCAAGAGTAGTTGTAGGCTGGATAAATAGCAGTAATCAGATCTCTTTTGGCAAAACTGGAACATGATGAAGGAAATACAAGACTTCGGGAGGAGCAGAATTATAGAATGTGTATGGGTACACTGATCAGCCAACAGCATGGCTGATGTGTTGGCAAGACAGGGCATAAATAGAGATCAGGTGTTCTTCAAAGGAATCAAAAGGGTGGGGCTAGGTGGCTATGCCAGCCTAAATTGAAGGGTCTCTGTTTTTGTGCATACTCTATTGATTCATTCTTTCAATAGAAGTTCAGTTATTCATAGAAAATATATCACTACATTTTGTTTGCTCGTATTTATACTAATAATTCTTTTGATTTTTTATCCAAGTCAATAAAAGAAGAGTATTCATTGTTTTCTGGTCCTCTTTTACCATCTTAGAAGTTTGCCTTTTAACTTTAACAGATAGAAGAAAAGGAAGAGACTGTCTGGGCATCTGCTCTTAGTTGTTTGCTTTACTTTGTATGTGATAGAGGCAAAATTTGGAGGAACAGATTGGAAGGTCTTGATATAAGGGTGAGTGATACCCATTTTTTGTTTATTAGTAACTTGTTCTTATTAAACTATAGAAAATATCCTCATTCCATATTAATAATTTATATCTTCTACTTTGATTTAATAAGTTTCTCTTAGAGGATTGTTTGTCTGGATAAGCACCATATATGGAAATTAACAGTTCTTCCTTTATCGTTGATGTACACTGCAGCCCAGTTATGTTCAATTGGAAGATATGTAACAAATGATGGTATTCATGTGATTTTCCATGACTTACACTGTCTTCTGGGAACCTTGATTGGTTTTATTGAATTTAATATTTCTGAAGTGAGTTTGACTTCTTAGTAGGCCATATGGTATTGGCTTGGAAGAATTATCAAACTTAATAACATTGTAATAAATTATTAGTATTCTTATTAGGAAATAATAACATTGTTGATAAAAATGAAGATAATTAAACTCTGCTGATGTGACATGGGAGTTAGCTGGGACTTTATTATATCATAATAATACAGGTGAAGAAAAAGAAGTGTTTTCTAGTGAATTTCCTGCAATCTGGACAGTTTCTAAGGAACTTAGGCATTTCTTATGTGGGTCCCAGAGGCTCTGTTGGGGTCTATACCGGAGCTACCCTCTGTATGAGGCCATGATGAGTAGGCCATCTGCTTCGTATCCCACGTTCACTTATTAGTTTGAGGGAAATAAAAAAATGTCTATGTCCAGGTTATGATAGTAATGTAAATACTGCTAATTCTCAATTTTTAGTTGATTTTTTTTTAGTGTTACTAGTAGGTGTCAATTTCTTTAGCAAGAGATCATGTGCAGGTTCAACAAGGTTGTTATGGACCTTAAGTCAGTACTTGTAACCTTTTGTAGGCCATTTCAAAACAGTCTAAACTTAGCCATTTGGGTTGATTTGGTGTATTAGGAAAAGTTTCTCAGTTATATATATCATTTTGATGAATACATTTTTCAGTTATATATCCATCAAGAATAAGTTCTCATTAATTTGATGTTATGTGGCAAAGCCATGTGCACTTTATTAGGTGTTTATGATCAGAAAAAAACTATTTGTGATATGGACCAACCATTTCTATTGACAATAAAAACAGTTTTCTTTCTTTTATAAAAGATAGTTTCTTAAAGTAAAATGCATTTCTTTATAATAATACATTAACAAACAATTTAATACCTTCTGATTCAGCTTAACAATCATCTATTCTAGTCTTATGAAGTCAATATCTCAATAACCACGTCTGAGTAAAAATGATGGTAGTCCAAGCCAAAAGAACAGGGTAAAAACTTGATAATATTTACGGACTTCTATTAATTGTCAAGGATTTGTAATATCATGGGCAATAAAGCCAATGGTTCAGATTTTAACTTAGGCTAATTAATTTTTTGAAGTACCTTGCTTAACCATCTTAAAGACCAAGCACCTATGAATCCCATCACATCAGCTGTGAAACACATTTTAACTCCAAACTAAGAAAGCCAGTTTGGATGGTACATTTCTTATCCAAATCCTATTACTTGGGAAGAAAAAGATGCCCTCCCTTGTCAAACTGTTAAAAAAAGGATTTAACACACAATTTGCCTGATATCTCAAATAGCCACTTTCTTTTGTCTTCCTCAACACCAATCGTCCTTGAGTCATACAAAATCTGTAACAAATTGATCAAGGAAGTCACCTCCCAGTCATTTAGGTTCCTCCTTAGTTGAACGTTTCATACACAACTCCCATTCTGCTTCTCCATACAATCAGCTGCTATTGCTTTCTTAGTCACAACAATCTCAAAAAAGATCAGGATACAAGACCTTTAGGGGCAATCACTGCACCAGTGATCCTTCCAAACAAAGAACCCTTTGTCCATTACCCACTTCATATTTGATACCCTTCATAAACTGAGGATTGATTCTTTGAACTGCCTTCCATATTGAACATCCATAAAGGACCTTCCATCTTGTGTCTCCTGATCTCTGCTACTGGATCCATACTCGGAAACAATTAATCTTCTCCACAGACTCTCCGGTAGCTCATTAAACCTCCACATCTACCTCTCTAACAGGGCAGTATTAACTTCCTTTAATGGTCTGATCCCTAGGCCCCCTTTTGTTCTGGATTTGCAAATTGTCTTTCAATTCACCAAATGACATTTTGCTTCCCCCTTCCACCCCCTCCACAAAAAATCTCGCATCTTCTTTTCTAACACAGCAGCCATTCTTGCCAGGATTGGGAACAAAACATGTAGTAAACAGGAAGAGAAGACAAACACTTTTGATTAGAGGGATTTCACCCCCTTCGATAAGTATTTGGTCTTCCAAGAGGCCAACTTTTTATCAACTTTTTCAATGATAGACTCCCAAATGGTTTTGGATGTACAATTATCCCCCAGTGGCATACCTGAGTATTTGGTTGGGAGTTTACCAACTCTGCATCCCCAATCATTTGCCCAGGCCTGCTCAGATTTGCAACTTCTCCAACAGCCATTATTTTACTCTTAAGAATGATAATATGCAAACCAGTTACCACCTTGAACCATCTCAATATAGCCTTAACGTTCCAAAATTGCTCCTAAGTACCATCGCAGAAAAAAAGTATCATCTGCAAATTGCAGAAGAGCTATCTCTACTTCCCCACTGTCTACTTTGAAAACTTCCATCAGCCCTTGCAGATGAGCTCTCTCTACAAGTCTGAAAAGGGCTTCATTCACACAAATAAATAAGATGGGGATCGAAGGTCCCCTTGTCTTAAGCTCCTTGGACTAGCCAATCAAAGGGTCCATCCTTATTGTGGATGCTATATGCTAGAGAGAAACTTGGTTGGAATTATAAGGAGGTTGGTGGCTTGGACCAATGGCTGAAAGGAGGGGAGTTCAGTGTGAAGAGCAGGAACCTAACAACCTACATAGAAACAGCCTTAGAGGGTAACTCAATGAGGAAGCATCATTTTTTAAAATGTCTAATTGGAAAATTCAACTGGTATCATCCTTTTTCTTTCATGGAGATCAAGCAAAAGCTATAGAAGCTAGGGGGTTTGTGGTCACTTTGGAAGCTCAAATACCACCCAGCAGTTTCATCTTGTTCTATTTACAGTTGGAATAGGAGGTGGGTAGTCTTGAGAGAATTTTATCAAGGGATTATGGTGAAGGGTTGCAAACTATGGATTGTGACATGGCATCAAGGGATCAGATGTGTCATGGAGAACCATGTGTTTTCGAAAACCATTAGGATTAGGCTTTTTGGTCTCCCTGTGCATCTGTGGGGGGAGACAACACTCAACCATCAATGATCTGTATGGCAGATTCCTCAAAATTGGTGACTTGACCTTTGAATAGAACTATGAATTGGTGAGAATTGTGGTATGATGGAGAGGTGGCATACTGGTATAGGCAAGCATTATCTCAGAGGAGATCCTCTATGTATAATTGTCTAGATTCAATTTCTCCCAAGTGTCTTGCTCATGTCTGAGAACATCAAATCTTTGGCACCAATCCTGTAGGTGTTGGAGATGACAGTTTGTTGTGTATACCAAATTGGAATAAGTTTAGGGCAACTCTGGCAGAAGTAGAGATCAACCTGAATTCTCAATGAGGTCATGATCGTGAACTTAGAAAAAGGATAATAGGGCTATTTGGGGGACAGTGGCACCCTCAAAAGTCAAGTTTTTATATGGGTGGTAGCTTTAGAGGAGTGTTTCTCCAAAGAGATGTTGGTGAAGAAAGGTTTTAACTGTAGTGATCTGAGGTGCAGCTTCTGCGGTGTGAATACAGAATCAATCAACCATCTGTTTTTACATTGCAATGTTGTCTCGAAAATCTGGAACCACTTCTTAAGTAGTCTGAGGTTAAGTTGGTGTATGCCTGCCTCAGTAAAAGCTTGCCTGGAGGCTTGGAAGATCCAAGGGATGACTAAAAAAGGAAAGATTTGCTGGTCTTCTATTTCCCTTAGCAATTATGTGGGCAGTATGGACAGAAAGGAATAGCAGGGTTTTTTATCTCAAATCCTCTACTCAAGCAGATGCCATCAATATGGCTTTAGGTTTTGTTAGAAATTGATTGTCTATTCTTACTGACTTTAAAGAGGTTACTTCTGATTGTAATTTTTTGAGGGTGACCTTTTGTTTGAGGTTATTCTGGCTTATTTTGTACAGCTTCTCATTGTACAAAGGACCTTTACATTAATACAACTATACTTTACCTTCACTCAAAAAAAAAAAAGATAATAGGGTTTATAGGAAGGAAATAGGATTAAGTTACATCTTTGATGAAGCTATGAGTCTGGCCTAGAGGATGGTGGGGGAAGAATCTAGAACAATGCAAGAGCCATATTGGTGACCACCAGTCTATGGCTAATCAACCCGATCAGAGCTCAGCTGATCATGTGGAGGGGCAATATCTAACAAGGATAGTTGGATCTGTCCACTTCAGGAAATGGTGTGGCAGCAAGGTAACCGTCTCTTGAAGAAAAGTTTCAAGTTCAAACCAGCAGGAATACTTGAATACTTCCAAGGAAGTTTCTAGAGAAGCCTTTTGTACTCGGGAAAGTGCTAGGGAATGTCTGGCAGGTACAGGGGAGGCAATGGATTGAACTGGCCTCAAGGAGTTGAATGGGGCTAACCAAGGAGCCAATCTGTTGGGTTGTGGAGTTGAGGTACTAAATGCCTTCAAGTGTTGAAATAATGCCCAGTTGCAACCTCAAAACTAGGTCTATCCAATCAATATATCCACTTAAGCTCAAATGTAGGAGGGTTGGGGGACAAAGGAGATAAAAATGAGTGTGGAGAATCATCAACAAAGGCTAGAAGAGGAAATCGGCAAAACCTACTCATTATTCACACAAGAAGCAATAGAAACATTTTAGGTGATAATTTTTTTTTTGATGAGTAATAGTAAATTTTATTAATTCAAGAACTGATTTAGAGTTGTGAATTCATACAACATCCCAGGGAGAGGCACGGGCTGCAGCCCCTCCTTGAATCTTACAAGTAAACTAGGAAAGAAATACARGAATCACARCTG